TCTCCAAATCTGGGTGCTGCAGAGGAAAAGCTGGACTTGGAATCAGAAAGCTGGGTCTAAATTTTGTTGACAAATTTATTTTGAAGAATAAATTGTGATAATATTTTTTAAAATTCTCTTATCTGCTGAACTTATATTTCATATTGCATCTGAAGCTAGGTGTTTTACATGTACATGTAAGCCAACTAATTCTTTTTAATATTTATTTTTTAGTTATAGGTGGACAAAATACCTTTATTTTATTTTTACGTGGTGCTGAAGATTGAACCCAGTATCTCACACATGCTAGGTGAGCGCTCTACCTCTGAGCCACAACCCCAGCCCCTCAACTAATTTTTAATAAATGACTTTGAGTCCCAGGCTTGGTGGCACACACCCATAATACCAGTGGCTCTGGAGGCTGAGATAGGAGAATCACAAGCTCAAAGCCAGCCTCAGCAACTTATCGAAACCCTAAGCAACTTAGACTCTGTCTCAAAGTAAATTTAAAAGGGCTGGAGATGTTGCTCAGTGGTTAAGCACCCCTGGGTTCAATCCCTGGTTAATAATAATAATAATAATAATACATATTTCAAAGTCTTCCTTTTTAAAATTTTTTTTCTCCATATCAAGGAATGAACCCAGGAGCGCTTAACCACTGAACCACATCCCCAGCCCTTTTCATATTTTATTTTGACAGGGTCTCACTAAGTTGCTTAAGGCCTTGCTAAATTGCTGAGGCTGGCTTTGAAACTTCAACCCTCCTGACTCAGCCTCCAGAGCCCCTGGGATTATAGGCATGTGCCACAGTGCCCAGCATGAAATATATATAATTATTCCCACTTTACAGATGAGGAAAGTGAAGCCCTTGGACGTTGAAAAATTGTTCCAAGCACCATTTGATGAAGAGATTATCTTTTCTCCAATGCATGTTTTCGGTGCCTTTGTCTAATATAAGATAATTGTAATTTTGTGGGTTAGTCTTTGTGTGCTCTATTCTGTACCATTGTTCTACCAGTCTGTTTTGGTGCCAATACCATGCTGCCTTTGTTACTATTGCTCTGTAGTATAGTTTAAGGTCTGGTATAGTGATGCCATCTGTTCCAATCTTCCTGCTAAGGATTGCTTTATTCTGGGTCTCTTATTTTCCAGATGAATTTCATGACTGCTTTTTTTATTTCTATGAGGAATGTCATTGGGATTTTGATCAGAATTACATTAAATCTGTATGGTGCTTTTGGTAGTATGGTAATTTTGATAATATTAATTCTGCCTATCCAAGAGCAAGGTAGATCTTTCCATCTTCTAAGGTCTTTTTTGATTTCTTTCTTTAGGGTTCTATAATTTTCATTGTAAGATCTTTCACCTTTTTCGTTAAGTCGATTCCCAAGTATTTTATTGTTTTTGAGGCTATTGTAAATGGGGTAGTTTTCCTCGTTTCCCTTTCTGAGGATTTTTCACTGATATACAGAAATGCATTTGATTTATGGGTGTTGGTTTTATATCCTACTACTTTGCTGAATTCACTTACTAGTTCTAGAAGTTTTCTGGTGGAACTTTTACATCATCTACAGGGACACAGCCACATCAATGTTTATAGCAGCACAATTCACAATAGCTGAACTGTGGAACCAACCTGGATGCCCTTCAATAGCTGAATGGATTAAAAAAAATGTGGCATATATACACAATGGAATATTACTCAGCAATAGAAGAGAATAAAATCATGGCATTTGCAGGTAAATGGATGAAGTTAGAGAAGATAACGCTAAGTGAAGTTAGCCAACCCCCCCCAAAAAAAAAAAAAACAAATGCTGAATGTTTTCTCTGATATAAGGAGACCGATTCATAATGGGGTAGGGAGAGGGGAGCATGGGAGGAATAGACAAACTCTAGACAGGGCAGAGTGGTGGGAGGGGAGGGGTGGGAGTGGGGTTAGAAATGATGGTGGAATACGATGGACATTATTATCCAAAGTACATGTATGAAGAAACAAATTGGTGTGAATATACTTTGTATACAATCAGAGATATGAAAAATTGTGTCTTATATGTGTAATAAGAATTGTAATGCATTCCACTGTCATATAAATTTAAAAATTTTTTTTAAATGTAAGGTGTTGTTTTAGTCAGCTTTCTTGCTGCTGTGACTAAAAGATCTGACCAGAACAATTGTAGAGGAGAAAAAGTTTATTTGAGGGCTCATGGTTTCAGAGTCTTAGTCCATAGAAGGCTGGTTCCATTTCTTGGGGCTTAAGGTGAGGCAGAACATCATGGCAGAAGAGTGTGGCGTAGGAAAGCAGCTCACATGATGGTCAAGAAGCAGAGAAAGACCCTGGTAGACCCAGCCTGATTTTCTCTTAAAATTGGGAGCCATCTTACCCCAAAGCCATGAAACTATAATTTCGGTTTTACTATAAATTACTGCAAATTCTGAACTAGCTTAGAATGCCTGCCCGTGCCTTGAACTTACCCATGCCTGGCTCTCTGACCAGATAGCAGCCTTCTCTGAAACTTTAGTGACGCCTCACAAATCTTGGCCTTTCCTGGCCAGATAACAACTCTCTCTGAGGCTCTAATGACCTTCATAAATTCTGATGTCAGGGCCAGCAAAAATGTAAACTAGCCTTCATGTTATGCTCGTCAGAGTTTTGTTATCTGTAACCCCCCCTTTGTGTAACTTTCTGGGCTATAAAGCTGGGCAGCAAGAAAGCTGCAGTGCTGTCTTGTTCCTGCAGTTTTTGGTGGGAGAGGCAGCCCAGCCGGTCAAAATAATAAGCTTGCTTTAATTTGATTTTAATTGGAGTCAGTGGTCTTTTCTTTGCGTCCTGGTCTAACAACCCCACTCTCCAGATACAAAATATTTACCCTAAAGCCACACTCCCAATGAACCATTTCCTCCAGCCATACCCCACCTGCCTCTAGTTACCACTCAGTTAATCCCATCAGGGATTAATTCACTGATTAGGTTAAGGCTATAATCCAATCCCAATTTCTCCAAATTTTCTTGCATTGTCTCACACGTTGTCTTATTATAAAATATCTTTGAAATTACAATTCTCTACTAATATTCCCATATATTCTTCCCTCCTATCTGCCTATATAAACTTCTTACCCAGCATAGTGGATCAAACCAACTAACCTAGCAGAGTCAAGAGCCAGAAACTTCTGATCTCAGCCAATGAATCATCATGTGAGCACGTTACTTCTCTTTGCTTCCTCATTTATGTTTTCTCAGTTACGAAATCAGTAACTTGCATGTGGATTACACTGACCCACATCTCAGAATGTCATGAGTGAATACTGAAAACTTAGAAAACTTTCAATGATCCACTTTTCAAATCACCCAAATATTCCAAAGAAATTGGTAAGATTTGTGCCCCATGACAACAAGAGGCAGGGATGTTGAGTGGAATGTAGGATCAATGTCATGACAAAGGTAGAAAAAAGAATCTAGTCTGCTTTTCCAACTCCACATCTGCTGTCATAGAATTGTACCCCCTGAACAGCTTGGTGATTATATATGAATTTTTTCATATGTACACTGTCATTGTAGGATATGAACCTGATTCAGATTGCAAAATTAGCTATGCATAACTTTAAAGTTGCTTAAGAAATAGGTTGATGTAAATCTGATATACACTACAAAACAATCCCTTTTTTTTTTTTATTGCTAAGGGTTTTCTCAGCAGATATTTATTGGATGCTTACAAAGTGCCAAGCAGGGTGCCATGCAGGGGCTGTGGCTAGCACAGTAGACAAGACAAACCTTAACTTTGCCTTCATGGAGTTTATAACCCAGTAGATGAGGTCAATGCTGAGCAAAATCACAGTACTAACAAATTGGTAGGTTCTCAAAAGCTCAGTATGCTATGAGAAAGTATTACAGGGGGACTCCAGCTTGCCTGAAGACTCAGGGAGAGCTTCCTTGAGGAAATTACATTTCAGCAGATAGGCGGCTGTCATCCAGGGTGTGTAACTACATTCACATCTCAGCTCTGACACTTGGACAAGTTGCTGTCTCAGAGCTTGAGGCCTCATGTGTAAAATGAGAAAAAAAATGTGCTTTTAGCAAGGTTGTGAGAATGAGAGGTAACACAGGTAAAGCACCTCTCCCACAATCAGGCATATAGTAAGCACTAAGTGCTTGTTGCTTGCTATAATTATATATCAACATAAACATCAAAGGAAAACTAAAGAAAGTTTGGATAAAATTGAAAGATATATGCATAGAGGGGAAATTTGGCATAGTCTCCAAATCCAAGGGGTAGTCAGTACATCACAATTATATGGGGGCTTCTTTCCTCCGTTTCAGATCTCTGAGCCAATAATAATAATAAGTAATTATAATTATACTACTAATAATAAATAATCATAATTACTATTATTATTAGTAGTAGTATTTAGTGGATCTCTAAGACTTCACTAAATACTATTTACCTAAGTTGATAAAGAATTGTTGAGAGTTGATCTCTTTCTGGGTACAGTTTAGCCAAAGCAAACTTGGTCAGGTTTTTCAAGCAAAAAGTAAGATACCTGAGAAATAGCTTCCTGGCCCGAGAACACAGGGTTAATCCTATTTGGTAAGCTCAAGTGACAAGCCAGTGTTTAAACCAAATGTGAGGGAAAATGACGAATGCTCAACTGAAGGTTCGTTCAGAAGAAGTAGCGCCATCTGGATGGGACCTGGAAGAGGGAAACGACCCTGTTTCCCCCACAGGGCGCAGAATATTGTCCCTAAGGGAGTTCAGCTCCAGATGCTCAGCACTCCTTCCCGGGCGCTCCCTCCTAGCCATCTAGGCGCTTGGATCCTAGCCATCTGCGCACCCTTCAGGATGAGTGTGGGTGATTTCGTAAGTGGACGTGACCGCCACCGAGGGGAGAGCCTGCAAGGAAATGGGAGTGACCGGGGATGGCAGGGCGGAGAGAAGAGGGAGCAGTGGGAGGGATGCAGGGGAGGAGTGGGAGGGATGTAGGGCGCAGTGGGAGGGGTGAGGGCGTGAGACGGTGGAGAAAAGAAGAAAAGGGTGCGGTGGCCAGGCGGGAGGAAGTGCGCGAGCTGTCGACTCTCGCTGCGCAGCCGCTTGCGGGTGGAGCACCCAGGTGAGCCCGAGATGCTGCTGCGCTCCCAGCAGGGGCTGCTCCTGCTGCTCCTGGGGCCGCTCGGTCCTCTCTCCCAGGGCGCCCTGGCGGGACCCTGGCAGGCCAAGGACATCGTGGAGCTGGACTTCTCCACTGAGCGGCCACTGCACCTGGTGAGTCCCGCGTTCCTGTCCTTCACCATCGACGCCAACCTGGCCACCGACCCGCGGTTCCTCACCTTCCTGGGGTAAGCGCCAGCCTCCTGGTCCTGTCCCCTCTCCTGGCCTCCCGACACACCCGCCAGTCGGGCCAGCCACTCTCCTCTCTTCTGCGGTGAAACAACTTTACATTTGGTCTTGAGAACACCCTCCCCCACGACACACACACACACCCTCTCCAGCCGGTTGCAGACAGCTTTCGCATTTTTACTTCATTCATTCAGCACGTGTTGGCTGAACGCCAACCAAGCACAAGTATTATGGAAATTTTTTGGAAAAGAAACTACCCACCTGCCTTAGCACCCCGCTAGCTGGAGGGGACAGAGACAAGTGCCCCTGGAGGGCTGTTTGAATTTTTTGTGCAGTATACAAAAAATAAATAAATAAATAATAAGCTCGTGGATCAGGTTTTGTGGTCCTTTAAAAGCTGTTAGGAAGATTTTGTTTTTAAAAAATAAATTAAAAAAAAAATCAGACGGAAAAGACCTCAAAGGAGAAGAATATGTGTTACTTATTTCTTTTAAAAATTTAAATGTTAGATAAGTGAGTCCTTGGAGACTACCGCAGCGACTCAGAGCCCTAATAAAAAGATGTCTCTCCAAAATGAAACTGCAAAATGTGGTGCTGCTTTAACAGTTTTAAATGGTTTGTTTGTTTATTTCCTCCTCACCTGTGGAAATGCACCTGTTGCAGGTTTATTGCTTTTGCCTCAGTCTGATCACAAGATGAACAGCTACAAGGACAGTCCTAGGTCATCTAGGCCATAGGAGCTTCCAGAGATGACCACATCTTGACCAGTCCATCATCTCACCATGGTCAAAGGCCTAGACTTGCCCTTCCTGAGCCCACACTGTTAGGCCATTGCTAATTTCACAGGTGGTCTAGTTAGTGGTTAAAAGATTGACAGGCAGAACACCTTGTCTCGACTCCCAACTGTGTAAAACAAGGAGACTCGGTTTTTATGGGCAGCTTGGCCACTCCAAGTCTTTGCTTCTTTATCTGTAGAATAGATTTTCTAGAGCCTGCCTCATAGAATTATTATGAAAATTTGATAATATGATAAGTAATTGGCACAATGTTTGACTTGGAGTATTTAAGTTCCTTGTTTCTTCCTGGGAAATAGTGTTCGCTTAGCCATTCAGCAGTTTTCTGTGTCTCTTTTCCCCTTTGTGGGGAGGAGGGGCCCCGCTTTTTGCCCTTCCCCTTAAGGATAGAAAGTTGACACCTGGCTGCAGCTGGATGGAGGATGGGAAGAATACTCTGGAGAAATGCTGAACGCAGGCCTCTGGATCTGAGGACCCCAAGCCTGACGGGGGGATGGGGGAGCTCACTGAAAACATGATGAAGTAGGTGTCCATTTACTTAAATGTGAGGACTGAAGTCCTCTTCTGCCACAGCTAGCAGATACCACGCTCCCTCTCCAGGAATGGGCAGGTGGGGATCCCCTTTGGAGAAACAGGTCCAAAAAAAAACATGGTATAACTTTTAGGATCCAGGGTCAAACACTCTGCAGTAAAGTTCACCTCAGTGAACTAGCATTTCCACCCCGAACACAGAACTTCCAGGTTACAATTTAGTAAGAGTGATACCTTTACTCTTCTTAACACATCTCTTAGCTTCCCATAACACTCTTTCTTCCCTCTTACCCCAAACCCTTTTTGTTGGAGATTAGAGGATAATGAAAATCCAAGAAACAACCTGGTTTGGTGTTTTTATGTTTTGTTTTACATTTTGATTTTGGGTTGTGTTTGTGTGCATTTATAAAAACAATTCCTCTCCATACAAGCTTCTTTCCAGGTTACTCATCTGCTTGCACTGTTCTCAGTTGATTAGTAGAGGTAGGAGAGCCTTCTCCTGAGCTCAGTCTTCGCTGCTAAATCTCCCCAGGGTTGTTAGCATAGGGCCTGGGGTGGCGGACAGTCATCTCAGAAGGTGACACTAAACTTATTGTCTGTTTACAGTTGTAGAGAAGGTTGAGCTGGTTGTTATTTTATTCCAATTCCTTAAAAGTAAAGATGCATGGGCAAGACTGGCAAGAGTTGAACAGCTGAAAACTAAGTAAGGAAGGAGGACAGTACAAGAGCTGACCCCTCCTGAGCGCTGATCAGTTTCCCAGGCCCTGTTCTAGGCCCTTCCTAATCTGAATTCATTTAGTCTTTCCTGCAGCACTATGAGATGAGTATGATTATCATTCCCATTTTAAGAGTGAAGAATTTCTGATTCGGGGAGATTAAATAATTTGGCCATGATCAGCCAGATAGCAAATGAAAGCAGAGTTTGAAAGTAGACTTTGATCACAGAGACAACAGTACACAAAAAGAAAGCAAAGCAATTTTTATTTTTTAAAGGAAATGGGACAGAACATGTTAGAAAAAGATTGTCCAGAAACAAATTGAGAGACGGAAAAGAAGCACTGACACAAAGATGCTGGGGAATCAGGACCGAAAAACCTCTAAGGTCCTGGAAAGCAGAACTAAGTAAATTTCATCAGATGTTGCAGTTCTGGCTTCCCACAATGGCAAACAGGTTCATCTGTGTTCTGATACATAAAACCAAAAAGCTAATGATAGAAACAATTTAGAATTGAAAAATAGAAGTTGTAATTTCTCCTCCTAGAGGCAATTAATCAACAAACCAGAATATTTCCTCAGCCTGACTTGGCGCAGAACTCCAAAAAGGACCTGGCCTTAGAAATAGTATGTGGAATAGAAATCTCATGTGAGCTTCGTGTTGCAAGGCATTTATGGAATTTTAAATTTTCTAGTAGTTATATTTTAAAAAGTAAGAAGAGGTCTGGGATGTAGCTGCGATGTAAAACACTTGCCTCGCATATGAAATGCCTTGGGTTTGATTCCCCAGTTCCAAAAAAAAAAAAAAAAAAGGAAAAGACAAAAATAAATGAAGTAAAAAGAAACAGGTGAAATTAATTTTAATAATTATGTTATTGATTTGATTATTTTTAACATCATAACTGTAATTGATATAAAATTATTAATGAGGTATTTGACATTTCTTTTCTCAAACCACATCTCCAAAATCTACATTTTATATGCTTACAGCACTTCTCAATTTAGACTGCTAACATATGTAAAGTGGCTACTGTATTAGAGAGTGCTTACATTTGAGTCAAGACACATACAGAAGCATAATCCCCTCATGCAAGATAAAACAATGCATAGCTGAGTACTGTGCTTCATAAGAAATCATAAGTATTACAAAGCAAAAGTGCTGTTGAATAGGAATAATATTAACATTGCAGGTGTGCTCGCTTGTCATAGTAATCTGTTCTTTTTCTTCAGCAAAGTTCATCTTTTTTGTTTTTTGCCAGTTTAATAAATATTCATTAATAATAACTTTCAACAATTAGATTTCTGCCGGGCATGGTTATCCACACCTGTAATTCCAGTGGCTCTAGAGGCTGAGACAGGAGGATTCTGAGTTCAAAGCCACCCTCAGCACCTTAGCAAGGCACTAAGCAACTCAGTGAGACGTGTTTCTAAACAAAATATTAAAAAAGGGCTGGGGATGTGGCTCAGTGGTTAAGCACTCCCAGATTTAATCGCTGGTATCAAAAAAATAAAATAAAAACAATTAGATTCCCACATCATTAACAAAGTTGCTTTTTCATATTTGGAAAAATACTTATCACCGTGAAATGCACGTTTTTATAACTGATGTATAAAGAGCCACAGATCCTCCATGTGCCAGTTGCTGGTGGAAATGACTATGGAAAGAGAGACAGAGCTAAGAACAATGACAGTTCTGATCCCTGAGAAGCGCTGTCCCCCTGAGTGAGCTCTTAGTGTTCCCCTCCCTCCTGAACCTTTCCACTGTGTTCCTTTGCACAGTGACCCCTTTCTGTCCTCAGAATATTCCCTCCACCCCCTTGCCCAACTAAAAACATGGCACTTCCCTGAAGACATTCTCTTCCCCTGTAACCCTTTAGAATTCAGGTTGCACATTCTCCCACACTCCAGTCCTTTTCCTGTTCCCCCACACAGCTTCTAGGTAACAGCCCACTCGTTTGAACGCAGACTGCTGTAGTTCAAATTCCTTTTGACTTACTCCCTTGGACAAGTTAACTTCATTTCCTTTTGTTCAGGTTCTATATCTACAAAATAAGGATAATAATGACACCCACCTCATTGGGTTATTTTGAGACTAAGTGAAAAAAAAAATCTATGCAACATGCTTAAAACACTCAGCTTGGACTAAGCTGACACATATTAGAGATGATTGTCATGACACCAGTGTGAGGTTCTAGTTCTCATGCAATGCTCCTTGTCATAACACTCTGCTCCCCTCTTATTTCTCCTTATTGATTAAAGACTGGCACTGATCTCCCAGCTTCCTCTCTAACATCAAGTCCCGTCATCATCCTGGATGCCTTTAAATCCATCTGAATACACTTCTCCCTTGATTTCTTCACCCTACACATTATTTGATACTCTTCATTCAGTGTGGTAAGCAGCTTGCACCAGCTCACAAAATGAGTTCATTTCTTCTCAACTCTGCATTCAGTGACATCATACTGCTGTCTTGAAATGGTGGGGATTTTTACATCACTGTGGCATAAACGTCATGGTGGAAATTGCAAACAGTGAAAATCAGGGCACTTTCCTGAGAGCTGGCCTGGCAGCACACACTAATTCACACCACTTCATCTAGTGAATTCCATGAGCACACCTCAGTGCTCTTCATCACTAGTGATCTTCCAACATCCAGAAACTTCAATTCAGATTTCTCAGCTCCATATCCTCTCAGCCCCTTTATTCTATGGTAAGAGTAAGGAAGTACCTCCACTGAACAATTTCCTCCTCTCTCTACTTCTTCCATATTTGATTTGGGCTTCTTTTTTTAAATATTTATTTTTTTTTAGTTGTAGTTGGACACAATACCTTTATTTTATTTATTTATTTTTATGTGGTGCTGAGGATCGAACCCAGGGTCTTGCACATGTAAGGTGAGCATTCTACTGCTGAACCACAACCCCAGCCCATGATTTGGGCTTCTTTTTTACTTTTTTTTTTTTTTGTGTGTGTGTGTGTGTGTGTATACCAGGGACGGAACCCAGGGCCTTAATCACTGAATCACATCCCCAGCCCTTTTTGTTGTTGTTTGTTTTTTATTTGAGGCAGGTTCTCACTAAGTTGCTTAGGGCCTCACTAAGTAACTGGCTCCTGCTTCAGCCTCCCCAGTCTCTGGGATTACAGGCATGCACCACAGCACCTGGCATAGTCCTTCTTGATTTATCACTCAAACTCCTCTTGTGATAGTAATCTCAAATCCTGAGCCATTGTTCTTCCTGATAAAACTCCCAAATCTGACTTGTTCCAACTATATTTTCTCTCTTTGGAATCTACAGTGTGGCCCCTAAATCTGGAAATGGAAAAATATTGCTTAATGTTTGGTGCATATTAATAAACCATCTCTGCTCTTTGTGTCAAAGATATACAACTTATATTTGCACAAAAGCTAAAATAAAAACAACTGCAGACTCTTGGGTTTTCCCCCTAACAAACTGCTCTGGAAACGAAATAGCTGCAGCTGTTTTTATATATTCTTTCATTATTTCCATATCATTGTAGTAGGAGCTATTTTTCCCTTTCCTTTTTTCTACATATGATTGAAATACTGTACCTTTGATCAATTTTGTTTTTATGGAAAAGTTCTGCAGCTGTATTAAATATGTTTTTGTCAGAAGGCATCAATATTGTATTCTCAAAACATGGAAATATTCCAGTGCAAAGGAGACTTAATACCAAAACTTTGAAACGTGATTTCCTTTATGTAGCAACAGCCAAAGCATTGGGTTTTAATTTCATTTTGTTCAGAATATAATATTTGTTTGGTCTCCTTCCTCTTTCATCAGACTAGCCTCCCTTGTTCTTTCACTTACCACATATTTATTAAGTAGCAGCTGTGTGCCAGACATTTGTCTAAATACTGGGGAGAGTCTGATAAACCAGGCAAACAAGGTCCCCTGCTGTCAGGGAGCTTGCATCAGAAGTGAGGCTGGGCTAGATAGGAAACCAAGGAAATACATGAGGCTGATTTGAGAGAGTGGTGAATGCTGTGAAGGAAATAAGGCAGGGTGATGTGGCGAAGAGCTCCCCAAGGTGATATAGTTCGAACCTTTGTGCACCAGCTCTGGCATTTAGGTATCTGACCCAGACTATCTTTCAATGCCTGGGCTCCTTTCCCAGATGCTAGTTTTTCCTTCCATTTCCCAAAGAGGACCAATCTCTTGTCAAATCTCAATTGCTTACAGATATTAGCTACATGAATCTAAATGAGTTTTTCTATCACCAAATAATCACAATACCAAGAGCTAGAGTCAATGCCTAGCTAAAGGCAGTAATGGTGTCAGTCTTGAGTGACTCTCTCAGAGCAGGTTCCTCACATTGGTTTTAAGGCCATGTCTTGGGACCTGTGCCCTAGGGGTTACTAGTCACTGATCTTTATACTCACCAATCTGTATCCCTAGCCTAGATGTGTCGCTTGAATTCCAGACACACTTGGTCAAGGGCTAGATGGAAATAAGGTTTTTGGTGTTACTTCAGCATTTCAAATTCTACAAAACTAAACCTTCTCTCTGTTTTCTCCTTCATCCTTATCACCAATCTATTACCAATTCTTTATCTCAACAAATGATATTACCATCTTCCAACTCATTTCCCAAGATAAACCCTTGCCTCCTCCTCAACATTGAATTAATAACTAAACTTATAATTTCTGTGTGTAAATATGTCCTAAATGTATCCACTGCTCTCTATCCCTGAGGCAAGTTACCAAGTTAGAAGTCCAGAAATAAGTCTTTCAAAAGAAAATGAAGTAAAAACATTTGACTAGGTTGTCTTGGAAAAAAATAATTATACTTTCTTGCTTGTCTTCATAACAGTTCTCCAAAGCTTCGTACTTTGGCCAGGGGTTTGTCTCCTGCATACCTGAGATTTGGTGGCACCAAGACAGACTTCCTAATTTTTGATCCCAAGAAGGAACCAACCTTTGAAGAAAGAAGTTACTGGCAATCTCAAGTCAACCAGGGTGAAACTTTTTAAAGATTCTATATTTTAATTAACTTGTGTCTGTCATGAGAATACTGGGAGAAAAGTGTTATTGCTCACATATTATAAATTCACAAGAGATTAAGGACCCCAACTGATCTGTGGAGGTGCCTAAATGACAGGAGCAAGCTATGGACAGGTTTCCTCATTTGATCTTTTCATGACTGTGGAACCTTACAGACAAGGTGTGCTGAGCATAACTGAGAAGGAGTTGTGCTATTAATAGGACAGTGGTTGTAGCCAAAGGACAGGGCTGCTTGGAGGGAGCACATGGGCAAAAAGGTGACAAACTGAAGAGGATATTTCCAGCTTAATATATCCACACAGCAATAGATTTTTTTTAAATTTAGCACATTTATTCTGGAAATAGAATGTGGAAGGAAGATCTAACAAGGGGCACAGAGATACACTCTGCTTCTACAAATGGGTTTCAAAAAACTTGATTTCCTGGGCAATGGTTCTCAACCATTTTTGGCTGTTCATATCACTTGCTATGAATCTGAATATTTGGATCTCTGGGCTCCAGCCTTAGAGTCTGAGTTTAACGAACTAGTTAAGTGATTCTGATATTAGAAGTGTGTGGCTACTATACATACGGTGCAACGCTACATCATTTACAACCATAGAAATGTAAAGTTGTGCTGCAATTGTGTACAATGAATCAAAATGCATTCTGCTGTCATAAATACCTAATTAAAATAAATAAATAAGTTTTAAAAAAAAAAAAGAAGTGTGTGGCTTCACCTGAGAAACCTGCCCAATGGAGTTTTGAAGATTGTCCTGGGTCTTTCAGAAGTGCCACTAGATGTCAAAGGGAAGTTAAATCGCTGTCTGAGCAATTGATAAATATATACATCAACAAATTATGATAATGTGTATCTAATACCAATATTAATGAGTAATATTTAATTATTTTATGTATTACATATTTTCCTTTTGTTTATTTTCTTCAGCTAGGAAGTAGTTAGAACATTTAATCGGACATTGGACCAAAATTAAGTGAGTGGTAATTAGAAAAAATAGAAGAAAGGCAGGGGATTCTCTTTGAATAATGAGTTTTGGAATCGTTTGGATTTGGCCCTTTCCAGCAGTCACATGCCTTCAAAAGCTCTAAACCTTTTTAGGCAGGAAGCTGTCCTTTTGTCACCAGTTTTTTTTTTTTTAATCTTTGGGGGGAGGGTTGTCACTGGGATTATCCCAGTTCCTCTGAAACATCCTTTATGAGTGCAGGGATAGAGGAGGCCCAGTTGCCAGCAAGTCACAATGTGCAGGTTCCCAGAAAGGAAGTGGTTGGCCAGTCAAACGCCCTGGCAGCAAGCACCCAGAGGCCCTGCTGCCTTGTGATAAAGAAACACAGGGTCCCCAGCCTAGTAGCAAGGTTTTCCAAGTACATGGGTTGTGGTCCCAGAAGCTTGGATGGTATGAAATGTAGAGGGGGGGAAAGTCAATAATCTCTATCTTCATTTTTTGGTGGGGGGCTGGGTGGGTACCAGAGATTAAATTCAGGGGCACTCAACCACTGAGCCACATCTCCAGCTCTATTTTGCATTTTATTTAGAGACAGGATTTACTGAATTGCCTAGCATGTCGATTTTTCTGAGGCTGGCTTTGAACTCCTGATCCTCCTGCCTCAGCCTCCTGAGCTGCTGGGATTACAGGCATGAGCCACTGCGCCTGGCCAGGCCTATCTTCATTATAGCAAGAAGAAATCACTATGAAGTAGACAGAGGCCGTGTATGATAAATGTCTACTATATATTTTAAAGTGAACCTTAACAGAACTGAACTAGGTTTTCTGTTAGGGTCCCCTGGTAATTTCATACTTCTGAGCTACCTTTTGGTTTTTTTGGGGTTTTTTTGTTTTTTTTATTGGTTGTTCAAAACATTACAAAGCTCATGACATATCATCTTTCATGCATTTGATTCAAGTGGGTTATGAACTCCCATTTTTACCCCAAATACAAGTTGCAGAATCACATCGGTTACACATCCACATTTTTACATAATGCCATATTAGTGACTGTTGTATTCTGCTACCTTTCCTATCCCCTACTATCCCCCCTCCCCTTCCCTCTCATCTTCCCTCTCTACCCCATCTGCTGTTATTCAATTCTCTCCCTTGTTTTTTTTCCCCTTTCCCCTTACAAACTCTTATATGTAATTTTACCTTTTGAATTATTTAAATAACTTGAAGCCATATCCAGTGTTCTATGACCAGTGTATGTCCAGTGTTTCTTAGGAACATTCTTCTTAGAGTTTTTTTTTGTTTTGTTTTGTTTTTTTTGTGGTGGGTGGTAAGCTGGCAAATTTGGCACATATTGTTCTCTGATCTCTTACCCAATAACCTGAAACTTAATTATGCTGCTTTAGTCATGTAATAGCTAACTAAACGTGTGTAGGATTTCAACCTTATTACAACAAACACACATTGTCTAATTCTCTTTTCCACCCACAGATATTTGCAGATCTGGATTGCTCCTTTCTGATGTGGAGAAAAGGTTACAGTTGGAATGGCCCTTCCAGGAGCAGCTGCTACTCAGAGAACAATATCAGAAAAAGTTCAAGAGCAGCACCTACTCAAGTAAGGAACAAAAGTCTCCCGGCAGGTGTACTGGCCACAAAAGTATTTGGTTAGGTTAAATTTGGGTTTGAGTCTAGTAAGCCCCACAACAGTTGTGAAAGCTATACAATATTTAAATGTTATCAAGAGTTCATGGGAGGGGCTGGGGCTGGGAGTGTAGCTCAGTGGTAAAGCACACACTTAACGTGTCGTGTATAAGGCCCCAGCTTCAATAACCAGCACCAAAAAGAAAAAGGAAGAGTTAATGGGAAATCTTGAACCCAAAACTTTATTTCTGGCTTTTTCCTTTTTATCTGACTTTGCCTACTAGCCAAAGATTCATGAACTAATAATGAATGACTGTTACTGCTCTCAAGAACTAGGGAGACAGGCACAGTGCACACTCATGTGATCCCAGTGGCTTGGGAGTCTGAGGCAGGAGGATCACAAGTTCAAAGCCAGTCTCAGCAAAAGTGAGGCACTAAGCAACTCAGTGAGACTCTGTCTGTAAATAAAATACAAAATAGGGCTGGGATGTGACTCAGTGGTCAAGTGCCCCTGAGTTCAATCCCCTTACCCCCCCCCCCAAAAAAAAAGAACTAAGGAGACAGGAAGACATGGATATATTCCTCATGTAAAATGTGAAAATCATTCACAACTTGTTCATCTGTTTCCCTTGCCAGAAGTAACTCCTATAGGTTGATAATCTCTAATCTGAAAATGCAGACTTCAAACTTTTCCAAAATCCAAAATTTTTTGAGTATCAATCAGATTAAGCATTCTCAACTGGTAAAGCCTATGCGAATATTCCAAAATCCAGAAAACTCTAAAATTTGAAACACTTGGTCCCAGGCATTTCAGATAAGGGAGATTCAGTCCATGGGAAGAGGTGATATACATCATTAGGCAGGCAATCCTGGCTTGTACCGGTGTTGGCCACTAAGCTACTTTCTCATCTAAGCAGGAATTTATTTCCATTCATTGAAACACTTTTTTTAAGTCTTCAAAAGAGGACATCATTACCACACAGGACTTTAAAGCAAATGAAACAAGCTATCTTTAACTATGCAATGTATTTTTATCTGAAATTGATGTTTTCTGATGTCACTCTAAATCTCAATTAAGATAATCATGTGCTCAGATACTCTAAAACTGTCTTCTTTTGGCTTTTAAAAATATATATTATCATAACTTTATTTGGTTAGTTAACATTTCTTAAAATCATAGTCATATTTTATTGCCCTCCACAAATGTCAACTTTAAAAAAAAAAAAGTGAAGGTTTGTGACAATCCTGCATCAAGCAAGTCTATTGGCATCATTTTTTCAATAGCACATGCTGATTTAATATCTCTGTGTCACATTTTGGTAAACTTGAAATATTTTAAAGTTTTATTGTTCTTGCTGTGGTGATCTGTGATCAGTGATGTTAGTATTTTAATTGTTTTAGGGTGCCATAAACCATACCCATTTAAGATAGCAAAGTTAATTGATAAGTGTTGTGTATGTTTTGACTGCTCTGCTGACTTGCTGTTCCCCCATCTCTCTCCCTCAGCTCAGGCCTCCCTATTCCCTGAAACACAACTATGTTTAAATTAGGCCAATTAATAACTTTACAGAATCCTCTAAATGTTCAAGTGAAAATAAAGCCAGGCATCTCCTACTTTAAACCAAAAACTAGAAATGATCAAGCTTGGTGAGAAAGATCAAAGCTGAGCTAGGCTGAAAGCAGCCAAATTCTGAATGCAATGGACAACTTACTGTTGGAAATTGAAAGTTCTATTCCAGTGCACACACAAATGATAAGAAAGCAAAACACCTTTATCGCTGATATGAAGAAATGGATAGTTTAGCAGTGTGGGTAGATCAAACCAGCCATAACAGTCCCTTGTGCCAAAGCCTAATCCAGCCTGAACTCTCTTCAGTTTTGTGAAGGCTGAGAGGACTGAGGGAGCTGCAGACAAAAAAAAAAAAAAATTTGAATCTAGCAGAAATTAATTCATGAGGTTCAAGGAAAGAAGCATCTCCATAGCATTAAAGTGCACAATGATCAGTAAATGCTGATAGAAGCTGCAGCGGGTTATCCAGAATATCTGCCTAAGATCATTGATGAAGGTGGCTTTGCTAAACCTCAGGTTTTCATTGTAGACAAAAGAGCCCCCTGTACTTAAAGAAAATAGTCATCTAGGACTTTCATGGCTAGAGAGGAAAAGTCAATGCTTGGCTTCAAAACTTCAAAGGAGCGTGGCTCTCTTGAAAGAGGGTGATACAAAAAGTGACTTTAAGGTGAAGCCAAGGCTCATTCACTATTTCACAAAATCCTAGGCCCCTGAAGAATTATACTAAATCTATCTTGCTTATGCTCTATAAGTGAAATAGCTCAACATTAGCGCTATTGCTTGACCTATTGCTCAAGAAAAAAAGATTTGTCTTACTGAGTGTGATAGTGCACACCTGTAATCCCAGCTATTTGGGGGGCTTAAGCAGGAGAATCACATGTTCAAGGCAAGCCTAGGCAACTTTGCAAGACTCTGTCTTAAAATAAAGCATAAAGAAGGGCTGGGGATGTATCTCAGTAGAACAGCACCTATGGGTTCAATCCCCAGAGCCATAAAAAAAAAAAAGAAGAAGAAGAGATTTCTCCTAAAATATTATGGCTCATTGACAATGCACCTGGTCACCATAGTGCTATCAAACAACATTGTGTGTCTCAAATAAATTTTTCATGCAAGAAAGAGTCATTTGATGGGACAGACTTCACCTGGTCAAGAGCTGTGATGTGGATGTATACATAATGAGATTAATGTTTTCATGCCTGCTAATATAACATCCATTCAAGATACCATTAAGAATATTCATGATTCATGGAAGGAAGTCAAAATAGCAACATAATAGGAGTTTGAAAGAAGTCTATTTCAAACTTCGTGGATGACTTTGAGGGGTTCAAGATTTCAGTGGAGGAAGTAACTGCCAATGTGGTGAAAAGAATTAGAAGTAGAATCAGGAAATGTGATGTGATTTCTGTGATCTCATAATAAAACTTCAACAAATAAAGAATTATTTCTTATGAGCAAAAGAAAGTGATTTCTTAAGATGGAATCTTAATCTTACTAAAGATGATGTTGTTAACATTGTGTTGAACTAAGGATTTCGAATATTACATTAACTTGATTTAAAAGGCAGCAGGAGCCAGGTAGGGTGGCTGGTGGCACATACTGGTAACTCCAGCAATTTGGGAGGCTGAGGCAGGAGGATCATAAGTTCAAGAACAGCCTCAGCAACTAATTGAGACCCTTTCTCAAAAATAAAAGTATAAAAAGGGGCAGGAATGTAGCTCTGTGGTTGAGAGCTCCTGGGTTTAACTTCTAGTAAAACAAACATGAAAACAGCAGGGTGAGAGAGGATTTGACTTCAGTCCTGAAAGAGGGTCCTTCCTGGGTAAAATGCTATCAAACAACATTGTGTATCTCAGATAAATTTTTTATGTAAGGAAGAGTTCATCAATGTGGTAGCCTTCATTTTTGTTTTAGTTTAAGGAATTGTCACAACCACCCCAGCTTTCAGCAACCACCACCCTGACAAGTTAGCAGCCATCAACATCAATGTAAATCCTCCACCTGCAAAAAGGACTTGCTGTTGGCTCAGATGGTCATTAGCATTTTTAACAATTAAGTATTTTTTAGAATATTTTTAGTTGTAGATGAACATCATACCTCTATTTTATGCTTTTTTTTTTTTAATGTGGTGCTGAGGATCGAACCCAGTGCCTCACATGTGCTAGGCAAGCGCTCTACTACTGAGCACAACTCCAGCCCCAAAATAAAGCATTTTTAATTAAACTATGTACATTTTAATGCTATTGCACACTTAATAGACTACAGCATATCATACACATAATTTCTATATGTACTGGGAGACCCCAAAAATGTGTGTGACTCACTTTATTGTGAAATTTGCTTTATTGCAATAATCCAGAACCAAATGTTCAATATCTTCAAGGTATGCCTGTACCTTACTTAAAATAGATTATTTATGTTTGTCAGATTTACTGTGTACTACATTTAAATACACACATACACACACACACACACACACACACATCTCAGAAAATAGCTTATGTGCTAATAGCTAGTGTTCTCTAAACATTTTTGTGTGTTCTTAAGAGGAGAGGAAACTACTCTGAAATTTTAATAAGCATGATTTGTTGTTGAATTCAACACAAAGCAGAGCTATCTCAGGTACCATTAAAGGAATAATAAACTACCAGAAATCTACAGTAGTAAGTTCTCTTTTTTATTTTATTTTTTTATTATTAGTAGTTGTTCAAAACATTACAAAGCTCTTGACATATCATATTTCATACATTTGACTCAAGCGGATTATGAACTCCTATTTTTACCCCGTATACAGATTGCAGAATCATATCGGTTACACATCCACGTTTTAATTTTTTTTCTTTTTCTTTTTTTTATTGGTTGTTCAAAACATTACAAAGCTCTTGACATATCATATTTCATACATTTGATTCAAGTGGGTTATGAACTCCCATTTTTACCCCGTATACAGATTGTAGAATCACATCGGTTACACATCCACGTTTTTACATACTGCCATACTAGTGACTGTTGTATTCTGCTACCTTTCCTATCCTCTATCCCCCCTCCCCTCCCCTCCCCTCCCATCTTCTCTCTCTACCCCATCTACTGTAATTCATTTCTCTCTCTTGTTTTTTTTCCCCTTTCCCCTCACTTCCTCTTGTATGTAATTTTGTATAACAGTGAGGGTCTCCTTCCTTTACCATGCAATTTCCCTTCTCTCTCCCTTTCCCTCCCCCCTCTCGTCCCTGTTTAATGGTGATCTTCTTCTCATGCTCTTCCTCCCTGCTCTGTTCTTAGTTGCCCTCCTTATATCAAAGAAGACATTTGGCATTTGTTTTTTAGGGATTGGCTAGCTTCACTTAGCATAATCTGCTCTAATGCCATCCATTTCCCTGCAAATGCCATGATTTTGTCATTTTTTAGTG